TTTTCAATTTCCTTCAATTTCACATCTTAACAAGAATCATATAGGGGATTGGTGGGGGTGGGGGATAGCATGATTTTTAGGAATACTAAACAGTCAAGTAAAAGAATATAGGAATTAAATTTACCTCTACTGAAGAAGCCTCAGAGAGATAAAAATCCCTTCAGGCTATTTAGTTAACTATGAGCCTTCACAAATGAGGCTGATCATAACCCACTCAGACTACCTTTCCTCTGTAAAAACAAACACAGGGCACTCAGCTTCACTCCGCAGATCAAGCAGAGAAAGAACCCCTGGAGTGCTTTACACAATCTTCTTGTAATTATAGGAAAACCCTTCCTCTGCACTTTTGTTTGTATTCTACACACTCCTACAATATTAAAACTTTCAAGGTTAATTTTTCTTTTCTTTTTTTTTTTAAAGGCATACTGGGGTTTTGAACTCAGAGCCTCAGGTATGGTAGGCAGACACTCTACCATTTGAACCACTCTGACAGTAGTCCCTTTGTGTTGGTTATTATTATTATTATCCATCATGGGCCTTGAATTCTGGGCCTGGGCACTGCCCCTGAGCTCTTCAGCTTAAGGTTAGTGTTCTACCACTTGAGCCACAGTGCCACTTCCGGTTTTCTGGTGGTTAATTGGAGATAAGAGTCTCACGGACTTTCCTGCTGGGCTGGCTTTGAACTGCGATCCTCAGATCTCAGCCTCCCGAATAGCTGGGATTGCAGGTGCCTGGCTTGGTTATTATTATTATTTATTTTTTGCAGTCCTGGGGGTTGAACTCTGGGCCTGGGTGCTATTCCTGATCTTTTGATAAAGGCTAGAAATCTACCACCTGAGCCACAGTGCCACTTTTGGCTTTTTCTGTGATTAAATGGAGATAAGAGTCCCATGAATTTTCCTGCTTATGTTGGCTTTGAACTGAAATCCTTAGCTAGGATTACAGGTGTGAGCCACCAGTGCCCAACTTGTGTTGGTTATTTTAAGACAGGACTCAGTTTATGCTCAAAGCAAGCCTGGACTATGATCTTATTTGCTGCCCCAATTGCAGATGTCTACTACTTTTTCCAGCCAAATATTGAGGAGTTTCCTGAACTGTTGGTTTGGGTTTGAGCCATGATCTCATCTCTCCCTTCAAGTAGCTAGAATTATAGGTTTGAGCCACCATATTGAGCCCAAGGTTAAATTTTGTTTACATTTATTTTTATCATTTTGGTGCTGGAGATTGAACTCAAGGCTTCACCGAGCTTTGCCTCTAGCTCCAAGGTTAATTTTGAATCAGCTAATTTTGAAGCCAAGTGTTTAAATCTGGATCTCCTCTTTCCTATACTTTCTCATTTTTCTGCATTGCATTGTTTTATTAATGAAAGGAGATAGAACTGAGCATAGAGATGGTTTGTTGTTTAAAATATCAAGGACAGGCTGAATGTCAGTGGCTCACACCTATAATCCTAGCCACTCAGGAGGTTGAGATCTGAGGATTGAGGTTTGAAGCCAGCCTGAGCAGGAAAGCTTATCTCCAATTAACCACCAGAAAATTGGAAGTGGAGCTGTGGCTCAAATGGTAGACATCTGGCACTGAGCAAAAACCAAGCTCAGGGACAGTGCCTAGGCCCTGCGTTCAAGCCTCATGACTGACAAAAATAAAATAAAAATCCAGGACAATTTGTTAACATTCCAAATATGCATGGAGGACTTGAACTGCAAAGAACACACAATAGCTTCAGAGGGTGCTGGAAAACCTCCCAGACGCCAGGAGTTACAAAAGGAAAATGGCTGGGGTGGGAATGTTTCCTGTTACCACCGTCAGCCTTTTCAGACAATTTATTTTGGAAACTAGATTTACACAGGAAACGAGTAGAAATGGAAAAAATTAAACGGATTTTCTTATTTTTGGTTCTCAATAGCAAAAAATATATATAAGCAAAACTCTTCATGGAAGAATTTTCCTTTTTATAAATTTGACAAAGTCATTAAAGATCCCAATTTGAGCCAATGATTAAATTCTTTAGCACATCGAAAAGCTTGTTTATAAATATTAACACTTAATATAACGTTGTTCAATCTTTTGTCTGATCAGTGGCTTCTAAACTCTTATTTGAAGAATACTTACTAATAACTTAGATAGTATATATCCGTTCACATCTAAAGAAATTTCATCAAAGAAGCTTTATATCCCATAGTGCATGTTGGTACTTTCTGGCCAATTCTCTTCTATTTCATTTCATTCTATTCCAAAATGCTAGTAAACACGCTCAATTACTTTCCTCACAAACTGAAATTTTGCCAGATTCTGGCACATAACTGAAAACACTGAAATGATGACAACAGACTAGCAGATGGTATTATTGTTTTTATCCTGTGGACTAATCAATGGTAAGAAAAATAAAACAACACAAAACAATCTCTATATTACAGCACAGCATGATTTTTAAATTTACTATTATTAAAATTATCAGACAGCCCTTTGCAAATTACTGGCGAAATCTTTTGAAACAACATCTAGCCTTGCACATGTCTGTAATACCCAACAGAGCTTAATGAAGGCTAGACAGCATACTTAACTCAGTTAAAATGTTACAGCCTATGTAAAAATGATGTAGGATGGCTGAGATTCCTAGCTGCAATTAAACAGAGAAAACCAGAAGTGCAGATTTAATACCAATTACCCCCCACAGGATATTTATGCACTTCTGAGTTGTCAAAGCATACTGCAAGAAGCACTTGTCTTCTCCTGTAACTCTGTCAGTTACAATCATTTCCATCGGAAGTTCTACTTGGTTCTTTTCTAGTCTGTTTAATAGTTTCTTGTTCATTACTCCACTTCCTTACATGGACTGCTTAGGAGTATGGGTAATGTCAATACGTCCTTGTGACTATTCTTCTAGCACTTCTATTGGCAGGCCGCCCTGCTGTTGTGTTCACTCTGCTGTTGTGGATGCAGACCTGAGTTGAAGGTGCTGTCTGTTTCTACAGGTGTCCACAAATTCTCCCAACTTGGAACAATTTGAAACTAAAACTTGGATTAAAAAACAAAACAAAACAAACATCACCCATACGGGAAAGAATTTGAGTTGAAATACAAGTAATTTTGGGGTACAAATTATGTGTCTGTATGTATACCAATGTATGTGTGTATACATACAGGATAGAACAACTTTTCTATACAGGTATGTGATTCCTTACCCAGAACTGATTCTCTATCTTGGCTTCTGGGACCTTGAAATTGTGAAAGCTTGTTTTTTCCTTAACATCCAGGTTAGTCTAGTTATAATTCCCATTCATTCATTTACTCTAGACTATAGATATTCCTTACTTCCTTCTGAGCTCATTCAAGAAGCATTTTGCAATCCACATTTTGAGTAGTTTTCAACAGGCTACACAGCCTTGTATAGGTTTCTAATTTTAACTTTTCTTGCTGAAATGACTTGAAATAAAACATGTACAAGAGTCTCTGTAATTCAGACTTTATTGCTTATTAATTTTGTCATTCTACACAAGTGAGAAAATATACTGGGAGTGTTGGCTAGTCATGATAGATTGATGACAACATTCAAGTGTTTTATGATAGGTAACAACAGGCCCCCACGACACCATCACCCCAGAAATTTGTATATTTCATATAAAAAGAGTAAAAATAGTTCATTGGCATTTAACTAGCATTGTTTTTTTGTAATCTATGAACCACAACATACCTTGATGAATATCAGAACTTCCAGAGTAGAACAAAATGTGTTTTTTTTCCATTACCAAATATTTCTTCAAGAAAACATGATCAAACAAATCAACCTAACACCAAAAATTACATATACAGAATCTTGAAAATACAAGTTGGCATATTGTAGTGGTCCTCAATTATAACATTAATTCCAGACACAAAATGTGATTCAGCTTTTGAAAATGACATTAAATTCCATAACTGCAATTACATTTACTTTATAATTCGGACAATTTAATGAAGCCAAGATTAACTGTGTTAAAAACCATGGACATATCTCGAACTGCTCTATCTATGCTAAGGTAACTTCTTTAAAAGTATTCTTTAAAACCTCAGATAACAACTATAGAAGTATAACTTGATGTACAAACAACCTACCCTTCCAAATCCACAGCAGTAGTTCTAAGAGTTCTTAAAGCTAGGAGCACATACAAAGTCACTGTGTAAATCACACGCAAGTATCAAAAACTTTCCCTACTAAAACTATACCCTTCCCTCTACTGATAACTGTTGAAAACCAAGCATGTGTAAAAGTTCGGCATTTCAAGAGTTCTATATATAGTATGAAAATGCAGAGGTTGAGAAATACATCTGGATGTTAAAAAGACACTACAAAAAAAGAACATCCCAGGACTTGAAATGTGGTTTTATGGTAAACTCATTTAAAGACCTATTATCCAACAACTAAAAACACAATAACAGATAAATAGGAATTTATTAAAACCACTGTCTTCTACAATACAAAAATTAAATATTAAGGCATCCTTTTTTTTCCCTATCCTGATATGTGCAGCAAAGAGAAGTGTTTTAAATAAGAGCTAACAAATGTCTTTCTAAAGTATTTGGCAGATTTGTTTTTATATTCTCTGACCACATGATCAAACACCCTGGTCCAAATAACAAGGGTATAAATCGGTTATCAATTTATTAAAGGGAGGCAGTTCACGCACTGATGAAAATTTTTTTAAAAAAAGGAACTACAAAGAGTATCATATAAAGTTCAAACACTGGGATTTGAATTTCTTGGCAGCAATTTACACCTCAGTAACTAGGCAGAAGAAGGGAGGAGGACTTTAACACGAGAGAAGCCTATAATATGGTCATGCTATATGGATCAAATGGTGACTCAGTCAATATTTGGCTCTACAACCTGAAAACGGCTTCATATTCCTTTAAAAATGATCACATCCACTGTAGTAAGAGCATACAAATAAATACTGTTAGTATACTCATACCTGTCCATTCACAAAGCTCAGAGGGCTTCATCAAATATACAATGTTAACAATTTCACCTTTTATTAAGGCAAGTTTGAGAAAATAATTTAATACAACCAGATCTCTCCATGAACTTTCTACTTACAATATTTTTAAGAAACATACAAAAAACCTGTATTATATAAAAAAGCCACCTCAATATCAGAAAATAGTAATGAAAGGTGTTGAGCCCATTTTACTTTTTAAAGGACGCTTTCCTTTTCTTTAGTTCCAAATGCTATTCATCATCTTTAGAGCCGGTTTTGCTTAACTATAAGAGAAAAAGACATAAGAAACATTCAACAAGTGTAAGTGATCATGGTATTTGAGTCATTATTTCCACTCAGAACCAAAACTAAACAAACAACAGAAAATAAGTTTCAAGCAATGTGTAATTTAAATTATTTATAGCTTCTTTACCAAGTTAATTACCTTTCAACATTAAGCTTAGCTACTTCAAAAAGATTTGAAATACGACCTGAGCAAAAGTACAACCTCAACAGAAATAAGTTATAACCAAGATTATAAAAGCAGAAAGTGATATTTATAAAATGAATGACATTCTACTTTTATTTCCTATCACAGACAATAAATTGTGTGTGTGTGTGTGAGTGTGTGTTTTGCTGGGGACTAAAACTAGGACTTTGTAATGGATTAGGCAAGAAAGTGTTCTACCACTGAGTTATCCTCCCCGCAACAGACAACAAATGTATAATGAAAAGTAATATTAAAAGTATAATTTTGCAAATATGATTAAAAAATCTTAAATTGTAATTTTTCTGGATTAAAAATCTGGGCAGGATTGGCAAAGTTTGAGGCAAGGCACAGAGATACAGGCAACACAGAGATGATAATCCTGCTGAGAAGAACCATCGGGTCCTTGAGCAGCACTCTGTACCTCCTGAGAATGGGGGACACTAGGAAAAGCAGGAAGTCCTCAGGGTAGTAATGTTCTCAAACATTTTGGACTTCTTCATATTTTCAAACTAAGGATCCTAAATCAGAGTCATATTTAGTGTATTAAAATTTAAAACTGAAAAGCCTCTTTCAAATAGATGATAAATGATAATAGAAAAAAAGCGCTACATTTTCTAAAACAGCCAAAGTGTAATGTGAAGTGGTGCTGGTTTTCCATTCCTGTGAATCTCTTTCTATAGAAAGCAGGTATTGTGGCCGACAGCATGGAGGGAGTAGTAGGAACCACCTGAGGTGCTAATGTACCCTTTGCCACTTTAGGACACTGCGAGAAACAGAACACACAGCCTGCATGCTTTTAGCTTTAACAGAGTGCTGGTGGCAAGGCCTCACTTCTTGCAGCCATCGGGAGCGGCTCCAAAATGTGATTGTATGCTCAAGAGAAAATGGCAAACACACAAGCAACATCTTAGAATTAGGATGCAAAGAGTTTTGGCCTCATACACCTGGCACCCAGAAGTCTTATGAGATTTCCTAGGCATCCAAACACAATTGCAAAATATTGGCTTAGGATGTGTGATTCTGGGACTGAACGGTGTGTAGGTGACTGCTTTAAGAACAAAGGCCTGAGTGTACCTCTGTGATAGAATGTGTGTTCTGGGTCTGATCCCTATCACGAAGGGAAAAAAAAAAGTTTTCCTGTCTCCCAAGATTACTGAATTTGGCTTTTTTTTTTTTTTCCTATTTCAACTTGGAATTGTATGTGTGTTGCTAAGGATTCCTTTAAGAACAAACAATTTCTCCAGTTGGGAAAGGAGCACTATTTTTATCCCCTCTGCACCAACCAGAGGATTTCTGTACGCACTTTCAGCCGAGATCTGCTATACTAGAAATGCAGCATTCTGGCTGAGACAGGCACTCACTGGGAGAGAATGGACTTAGCTGATGTGCGACCTGTGACAGAGCGAAGATAACTTGAAGTATCCAGCAAACCTATGAGAGACTGCAACTGAAGGTTCAGCAACGCAAACATTTCTTCCCAAGAATGGGAGAACAGAAACCATGCTCCTTTATTCTGATTACATTTTGAGGCTCCCTACTCCTAGGTAATATTCTTACACTACATTATATGGTATAAAGGTTATTTTAATAGTTTTCATAGCAAATGTATGGATTTGAAAATAAATTTTAGGGCTGAGGGCATGACTTAGTGGCAAAGTACTTATTTGCCTAATAAGCGCAGAGTCCTGAGTTCAACTCCTAGTATTGACAAACAGCTTTAAAAATAAATTAGTCCTGCCAGGTGCTGGTGGCTCACACCTATAATCCTAGCTACTCAGGAGGTTGAGATCTGAAGATCGTGGTTAGAAGCCAAACTGAGCAGGAAAGTCTGTGAGACTCCACTAAACTACCGAAAAAGCCAGACATGGAGCTGTGGCTCAACTGATAAGAGTACTAGCCTTGAGCAAAAAGAAGGTTGGGAACAGCAACCAGGCCCTGAGTTCAAGTCCCAGGACCAGAACACACATAAAAATATGCAAGTTCTAAATTACCCATATAGTGGTTCTCACTAAAATGCTAATCTTTATTCTTTGGTCATATTAAATACTTCTAATGGCAGCGTAGCACATACCGCATGCAAAACTTATTTCATGAAGTCCCACAAACAGAATGAACTTAGTGTATTATGTATCAGTTTAGCATATTTGAAACTACCAAGAGTTTAAGTAAATTTTAGGAATGCTTGCTAGAAAAATTAAAATGAAAAGTAAACCATTTTCAACAATAAAATCAGAATTTTTCTTCTTGCAATGATAGGCAACAGTTAAGAGAACATTATGACTGATTTCTACTTAAAAAATCTACAGCATTCCTTTCCATTATTGGTCTTACTTAATTTCCATATTATCTAGAATTTGTCACATTTAACCATGTCCATGCAAGAAACAGTCATGCTTTATTTTAAATACTACTTACACCTATAGAAGTTTCACTTACTTAAAAAAAATCTAAATTTAAGGGTGTTGGGAAGCAAAGAATATGAAGAGTATTTTAAAAATACTTACATGCTGAATGTAAAAAAGTAAACAGACATCCAGGGAATTCCATAGATTGCAGGGAAGAAAACAGAACATACAAATTCATTACTTGATGGCAATGATTATTATAAAAAATCATGACTAAAATGTAAATGTTCTATACCTTCACGACATCAACCCAGTTCCAGCCTCGAGGAAGTTCCCCTTTGTGATCTAGAGGATAAAAAAGAACAAATGTATTTCTAAGACTGGTCAGCTAGTCTTAATATTCTAAAATCTTATATATACTTATATATAACAAATACAGAGTCAACAAATATATCATTTATTTGGAAAAATACTTTATCACCTTGTGAATTAGCAGCATTGTTCTACAAAGTGTTTGAGGTACACCCCTATTATGTTTACTCTATTTCTACTCAAGAACTAAAAGATGTTATAGTGGGCTGGGGTCATTTTAGTTTCATGCATTTGCCCAATTCTGCCTTCTATCAGTCACTGCTAATTTAAAGGGAGAAGCTGTGTGAGTTTCCTGTTTCAAGGGTTAGCACCTTCCCTCCAAGAAGCTAGACTTAACACAGAAGGCCTCATATACAAATGTTCAGCTTCAAACCTAAGAAGAGTCTTAATTTTCTGAGTTCTGATAAAATATTCTCTTCTTAATCTAATATTTTTCAAACCAGTTTTCCTTTATTGAGAATGATTGAAAATAAACTAAGAACTTATAGTTTACAAAGTGCTTTCCTTCTTTTAATAAAATATTCAAAAATAAACAACAGATTGGGTATCTGCGGTTCATGCCTATAATCCTAGCTGCTGATGAGGCTGAGATCTAGAGACTGTGGTTTAGAGCTGGTGGGGGAGAAAAGTTGAAGAGACTCATTTCCAAAAAAGCAAGGGAAAAGCAGGGCAGGAGGCTTGGCTCTAGTTTGCACAAGCCAAGTAAGCAATCTGAGAAAGCACACGGCCCTGATTAAACCTTGGTACTGGCAAAAAAGAATAGTTTAACAAATGCTACTTTCAATTCAAATTCAATTCAAATGGCCCAATGCTCCTTATACTCCATACATGCTGTGTTATTTTTCACATTCAAAACAAGTACCTTACATAGACTGGATACCTCTAATCCCAAACTCCTAAATCCAAAATAATCTAAAATTAGATTTCTAGAAGGATGCTCAGCTGATAAGTGTGCAAATACACCATCATCTGAAGAGCTCTGAAATCTGAACATTTCTAGTCTGAAGAATTTTAGATGAGGGATATTTAACCTGTGTTAATTTTATAGCAAAGGGAATACTGAAACTAACTCCATGATTTTTATAGAAGAGAAGAATATTTCTGGAGCTAAACCTGAGATGCTAATGGTTCTTTTCCAAAAAGAATCCTCTACCGGTTATGAGGAGCACGGTGGTAGGGCACCAACTTGGGTTAAGTGTACCACCCACAGTACTGTTGGCTGTCATGTTAAAAGTTTTATCTAGAAGGAAAGCTTCCAGTCATTTTAGGAAGACAATGACTTTAGATATGTGGACATCATCAAAGAGATGAAGGCCAAGAGATATAAATTATGGGAAATGATCATAGATAATTATACACGAAACCAACAGGTAACTGACATGCTAAAATATTATAGAGAAAAATCAAAATTCTAAACACTGGACTGCGCTGGCTAACAAGTTATTCTTTCATTGTTTATATATTAATGATGCTTTGATAGGTGGTGGTATTAGATTCCAAGGTGTTTATCTTACAAACCATAATAACTAAGAAAGTATAGTTTTGGGGCTAACACTGGGTTGCTTGCTTTTATTCTGTCAAAGACAGACATTAAATAAAATATAAACCACCAACCCTAATATCCATTTATGAGAGAAATGGCATTTAAAAATCCCTTCATCAAAATAAATGAGTCAGTTCTCAGTGACGGACAGTTTATAACCTTATACCAATAGCACACACACACACATTTAAGTATAGATGTGATTGTGTAAAAATGATAATGTCCTCACTTTCCCTGATTGGGGAAAAATTATAGATTGATACCAATGTGAAAATCTCCAATTACATAGAAAGGATCAAATACTATTGCTGATATGAACTAGAGTTTAATCTTTTCCAAAAGGAATATAGGTTAGGGAATTCTATTCTTGGGTCTTAATGTTGTATACATGAGTTAACTACAGGCAGAAATATTCAATTCTGGTGTACCAGACTTCACTTCAAATGAAAATGGTATTTACCCAGTTGTTAATACAGATACCTGACACAGAGATAAACAAATAAGGAAATCCCAAATATGGTAGGTAGAAGACACAGTAATACACGTTTTTGTATACTGTCCTACTGGTCCTCAATCTCCAAATTCATTTCTAGTTACTGAGCCTCTCAGTTACCTTCTCTTCAAATGCTCATGTCCTGTAATGAGTTAGTAATAAATACTTGCAATATTTCTACACCATGACCCCAGAGATCTCCAATCTAAACTTTCCAAGAACAAAGAGTACAGAATTACCCTAAATCTAAATCTATTAAGCAAGCACTCACTACACAGTGTGTAGTAATACAAATAACATAGATGACCATTTATCTGTGTTATAAAAGACAAGACATAATACCAACCTGTTTTATCTGCCAGCTTACGTTTCTGGGCTTTTGAAAGTTGTTCTTTTTTGTCTTTTTTCTTACTTGACGAGGCTACATTTTGTGTTTCAACTGAGATAATATTGCCTGTGGATGTCTAAAAAACAGGAAATGGTTCTTAAGGTTCGTGCCTTAAAACTTACTGGGTTAGACTAACTATAGGAATATCTTGATGACAATCCAGTAATTTCTAAATATATAAAATAATCTGATTGCTATAAGTTGTGTTCTAAATCAAGTGTCTTTAGCACACTATTGGTTGTACTCTTTTAAAAGTTCAATAGTAGTACAACAGAACCCTGGGGGCTGGGAAGGTGGCTCAGTGGTAGAGTGCTTGCCCTGCATGCATGAGGCCCTGGGTTAGATTCCTCAGCACCACACAAACAGAAAAAGCCAGAAGTGGCGCTGTGGCTCAATTGGTAGAGTGCTAGCCTTGAGCAGAAAAGCTGAGGGACAGTGCCCAGGCCCAGAGTTCAAGCCCCACGATCAACCAAAAAAAAAAAAAAGCAGAACCCTGGAAGGATCTTATTACTTGCATTAACGCTAGCCTATCTTTAAATTGAACTGCAACAGGTCTATGACAACTCTTTATAACAAAATCAACTTCATAGAAGTAGTAATTTCATACATTCAGACCTCCTAGTTCAGCACTATTTAAGGAAAGAAGCTAAGTATATTTTATCTTTTTGTGTGTGGGTGAGGTGATCCTTAGGTTTGAACTCAGTGTCTTCAGCTCACTCAGCTTGCTTGCCAAGCACCAGCACTTGAGCCATGCTTCCAGCCCAACTTTTGTTATTATTTTAGAAATGGAGTCTTATGAACTTTTCAGCTCTGGCTTGCTTTGAAGTGGATCTCAAGCCTGGTTATCTGGCTGGTAATTATTGTTGTTTGTTTATCTTTTTAAGAAATACAATCACCCATCCTGGCCTAGAATTATGCAGCAAAATTCCTGATCCTCCTGTCTCAGGTTCCTGAGTGATGGGATTACAGTTGTGTGTCACTGTGCTGGGCTTCAGTATTTCAGTTTTGAAACACAAGTATTTTAATTTCTTATGAAGGATGAAGGTCTAGAGAATATAAATTCATTTCCCAAGTTAAATAGAAGAAAACTAAGCTTACTTAACTTCTTACTTAACTCAGATGTTAACGCATTTTAAAACAGAGAAAAAGTTTTCCAATTTTCAAAAAATACTAACTAGACTCATTAACATGGCCCAAGTGGTGGCGTGTCGGATGAACAAGGTTCTGAATTCAAATTTTAGTAGTGCCAAAAACAAAAACAAAAGAACCAAAAAAAAAAAAAAACCTTGAAAACAATGATCAAAAAATCATCACTAGAACACTCAAGCCAAAACAACAAAAGAACAAATCTAGTAAAAAAAAAAATCATCACATACTCACTGTAGAATTGACAGGATGGTGATTCTCCATGAACTGTTCTTTATTGTCCTTGGCATATTCAAACAACGTATAGGTCATAGCAGTTCCAAGATTAACTTCCACTGCTTCTTGTAACTTGGCTAAGATACTCTGCTTTACAGCTGATGATCTGTAATGTGGAGCAAATATACTGTCAAGAGAAAAGTAATAGGGTGTGAAAAGAAAACACAAGGAAAACAAAACTACTCACATGGTATTGTTAAAAAAAGCATTCATAGATATAATTGGAGGTGTCTGAGGATATGTTTCTGTCCAGGAAATCTCTATTAAGAAGGCTTTGGGGTCGCCATTTTCACCTATCTGAAAAAAAGAGAAATCTTACACTTGTGAAAAGTGATTTTAAAAAAAAGACAAAATAGTAAGTCCTCATCTTTTAAATTACTTATTCTTCCCAATGTTTATGCTCAGATCAGATTTTGAATAGGTCTAGTCCCAGGCTAAACCTGAGCAGGACTGATAGCAATACTGAGTCTAATTTCTGATTTAATCTGGTCTGCCTTACAGTTTTAGTTTAAGCCCATGGCCCGTCTGTCTCTCTAGACCCCCAGCTTTTCCAGTATCAAAGCTACATCTTACACATTTTTGTCTTAAATCCCAAGATGAAGGCTAGAGAAGATGAGGGGACTGGGCCAAAATAATAATTCATAAACTTGAAACACCACATATTTTTTCTTGTTTCCTAACTGCTTAATTATAGTAGATATAAAGAACAAGTCAATCCGTATGTATTAGCACATTACCAAGACACCAGAAAACCAAGGGTAAAACTGAGAGAAAAAACAAAAGGATAAAGTTAAAGAAAAGGAATGAATACTTTAGGCTGGATAGCAATTCCTGAATAATTATAACAGTGTCTTTTCTTTTGCTCCCCTAACATTTTAAACCTTTTTAAATCTTAATGAAAAACTCAAATAGTACCATGAATGTTACTGGTCCTTATTTACCCAAAACTTCTTGCCTATTTATCTTTCCAAACACAACACTCATTCCACCAACATGTGATTTTTTTCCCTTTGTTTTCTGTTGAACCAGTTGAAAGTAATCAAATGTGTTAAAATATAATATAACAACTCTTAGAAATTTAACACTGATACACACTAATATAGAACTCACATTAACCGCCCCCCTCCCCCAACTTCTGGGTGCCAGTGGTTCATGCCTGTAATCCTGACTACTAGGAGGCTGAGATCTGAGGACTGAAATTGGAAGTCAGACTGGGCAGAAAAGTCTGAGAGTTTATCTCAAAATAACTAGCAAAAAGACAGCTGCAGTGGTGGTTCAAGTGGTAGACCATTAGCTGGTATCAAGAAAGAAAAGCCAGTATGAGGCAATGAGTTCAAGCCCTGGCAGATAAGAAAAAAGAAAAACACTTTAGGAAACGATTTAACAATCTGTTATGCCTAATGGCTGTCAATGCCAGGGGTAGTTTGGAGAGTCAGTTTAAACAAGCAGGAAGACTTATGAGTAGCAGAGGAAGGAATACAGGTAGTCCTCATTCTGTAAGCAAGGGAAACTCTTTAAACCTTTTAAATAAAGGAATAACTAAGTGTTTTAGAGAGCTGACGAGTTCTGATTGATAGAGGACTAATGGTAGAGAGTAAGGAGGAAATTGAAGAAAGGAGTAAAAGTAGGGAAGCAATTTAGGAACATAGTAAACTATTTGGTACAAGAGCCAAATCTGAGTATAGTAGTCCACACTATAGTCCCAGCACTTGGGAGAATGAGGCAGAGGATGGCAAGTTTGATGCTAGTTCAAGCTACATACATAGTAAGGCTGAATATTCTCCCCGCAGCCCCCCCCCCCCCGCCCAAACACATACACACAAAGAAAGAGTCTAGCAAAGACAAAAGAATAATTCTCTCCAAACTCCCATCTCATTCCTCTTCAAGGAATAGATTTCATCTATTTCTAAATTTTATGATTTGTTACAACAAAAATAAAAACCCATGTTATTTTATTTTTTAAAAATGGTTCTGAATGAGTTGGGTGCTGATGGCTTGTATCTGTAATCCTAGCTACTCAGGAGGCTGAGATCTGAGGATTATGGTTCGAATCCAGCCTGAACAGGGAAGTCCATGAGACTCTTATGTCTGATTAATCACAGAAAAAGCTGAAGTGGTGCTATAGCTCAAGTGGTAGAATGCTAGCCTTGAGCAAAAGGAGTTTAGGAGCAGCACCCAGGCCCAGAGTTCTAGGCTCAAGAGCAGGGGGAAAAAAAAAGTTCTGAACTAAGTTTTCAAATGCTAAATATGAATGGAACCATAGTGATGAGTTTTCATTTGGATCCTTCAGAAAATACAGAAAAAAATTTAAACTACTAATTTCAAAAAACAAAATCAACACTTTTAGCCATCTTTAGATTCTGTTTCTAGCAAAGCAGTCAGTATACTTACACATGCTATATCTTACCCTATATTGAAATGAAACTGGGCTTAATTCCCGGAAACTCTCATCTCCTTCATAAATAGAACGTAATGCTTCTAGCTCCATCTGAAAGAGAAGAGTCAATGAGTTTAGTTTAGTGGTATAAATGGATTGGAACTGGAGACCCTAGTTTTGGAGTCAAGCTCTCTTTTTTTTTCTGGGTCCGTTCGTGGGGCCTGAACTGTGGGCCTGGGCGCTGTCCCTTAGCTCTTCAGCTCAAGGTTAGTGCTCTACCACTTGAGCCACAGCGCCACTTCTGGCTTTTTTCTTTTTGCTTATGTGGTACTGAGGAATCGAACCCAGGGCCTCATGCATGCAAGGTAAGCGCTCTACCACTGAGCCACCTTCCCAGCCCCAGTTTATCATAGTTAAGAGAGCTTGACAGGCTTGGAAGGTGGCTCAGTGGTAGAGCACTTGCCTTAACTATGATAACTACGATAAAACAAACTATGATAAAGTTAAATTATGACAAACTATGATAACGCATATGACCTCAAGTGGTTATGATAGATGTGTACATATCAACACAATCATACTAGTAATACTTTAAAATTCTGTGCCGAGTATGGCTAAGCAATATACATTGGATTGTCTCACTTGATGCTTTCATCAATTCTGTGAAGAAGACCCTATCTCTGTATTTCTTTCTTCCTGTGTAGAGGAAAATATGATTCAGTTTAAAACAGCTTTAGATCATGTGTTCTCTCCTAGCCTGAAGTAGAATAAAAGCAGTAAACTTGGAGATGAGAAGTATGAAGCACAATCAGAAAACTCCACCCCTTTCTGTGGGACATCCATCTGGAATAGTTACCTTGAAATATGCATTAATTACTGCAAAGCGTGTAATGAAACATCAGAACTTGCTCTTCCTATCTCATTCTAACGTGGTATCTGCTGACTGAACATTGTGATCATGGTGATCATCTTTCCTTCTCTTTACTTTCTCCCAGGAAGCTTAATACTGTGCCTTCAATTACCTGGTGAAAATACTTTAGAAAGATGCTCAAGTGTCAACTAATTGATTGGACTTTGGGTGCTTTAATCTAGAAACTCGGTTACATCTTCCATATGTAAAAATGGCAACTTTCAAGTGGTCTGTTCTAAATCACGCAGTCAGCTACAACTTACCCACTACTGCCCAAGGAGACTTGGCTCTAATTTTCCTCCTACATTCTCACAGTGCAGCCCTGGGGTGCGGACTGCACTACTTTTAGACACCATGCCTCATCTATTCACGTTCCAGAGTTAGAAGATTCCCCTGCGGATGATGGGTAGCCTCCCCTCCAACTCTCTGACACGATACCGCGCTAAAACAACACCTTCCTTGCAAGAAATACATCTAGGCATGCATCGACCCTGTAAGTCTGATGGGACAGACAAAAAACGATTTCACAACACAGAAGCCGTTGACACTGCTGTCACTATTTTCCTCCAGGAGAAATCTAACTCAATGAACCCTTTTTCTGACAGAAAACAGATTTAAGACATTTGAAGGTGATCGGATTCCCAGACATCATAACTCAGCACACAAACGCTGAGCCAGAACGACAGGCTTTTTTAAGGACAGCCAAGTGCACCAGGGTCGAGCAGCAAGGACACCTCATCTCGTTAATATGGAAACTGGGGATGTGTGTGTGGGGGGGTGCAAAATGAAAAGTGCGGGGAGCATGATGGTGTGTGCGGGAAGGGTACCGAGCGGACCCTTACCCATCCATGCTCGCCTCGCGGGGGACCGCTCAAAGTGGGGTACCCTGGCCAGCCTCTAGGGGCTCCTACAGGAGGACACACGCGGGTCCACGGGCTTCCCTACCTTGGGGTCTGCGAGGGAAAGGGGGTGTCCAGCCCCGGGGGGAGGGTCTCACCTCCTGGTCCTCGTTGGCACTCATCGCACCACGCAGGGAGGGGGCAGTGGCCCCGAGCCCAGGGCGCCCCTTTCGTGCTGCGGGGAGCACTCTTCGCAGCCGAAGACACGGTTTCACACGCGATCCCCCCCGACCCTGGGCAATGCCAGGCGAAGAGCCGCGGTCAGGAGTCCAGAAGCCCAAGGCCAACGCTGGTGAGACGCCGGCACCCAAAGGGGACTGGGGATACTTGGGCGGTGACGACGGAGGCTCCGCCCCCTCCACTTACGCTTCTCTTATTGGTTCATTTTCTCCCCGCCCCTAGCCCTTTCCCTTCTAGGAAAGGGAGCGCCTTCCGTACGTGTTGAGCGACTGCGTAAAGTTCCGGGATTGCGGTTGGTCGTGGCGCGCTGTCACTCAGGCTCAGAAAGTGCTTCCTGTGCTAGCGGAGGTGGGGAAAAGGAAGTCTCGCCAGGCAGCTGGAGGCGGCTGGGGCTGGCGGCTCGGCGGTCTTCCCGGGCTCCCGGTGACGTCGCTGCGTCCTCCTCCCCGTCCTCTCCGGGGCTGGCGGCAGCCGGCCTCAGACGCCGCGGGCCCGGGGCGTGCGGCCGCTCACGGTGAGTCCGGGTCCGGAGGCCCGCGGGGCCTGGCGAGGACCCCCGGTCTCCTGGCGTGTTTGGTTTGGGGGGCCTGTGCTTTCCAAGGGCATCAGCCGCGGCGGTCCCCACAGCGCTCTAACCTGCCGAGAAAAAAAAAATGCACTTGTTTCTAGAACCTTCCAGGATTCCTTGTCCAGGCCTTCCAGGTAGGGGTGGGGACAGAGGAGGAAGGTATCGCCTGCCTGTAGAGCTGCCAGGTTCCTGCTCCTGTCTGTCCTCACGTCTGGACGTGCGACCCCGGGCCCCGCTCCTTCCCAGCAAGGGGCGAGACGTATTTTATTTTCCTTCACTATTTCAGCCTTTTTTTTTTCCCACCAGATCTTCTTTTGTAGCTGGACTTCCTTTAAATCCATTCGTCTTCCTAGCCTGTGTCCTGCACCTGCACCTCCAGTTTATAAAAATACAACTGTACTCTGTGTCTGTAATCTGTGTTTATTCGTTTACGTGCCACTTTGGTCAGCCGTAGTTGTCATCCTCTGGCTGCCAGATAGTAATCCCTTACACTACACGACCTCCATCCAGAGTGCTCAAGGCTGCCTGCTTTTTCTTGCTTCCGTGTCCTGGTTTGGTGACGTTGCTCCTTTAACATCCCAGAAAGTAACATTTCCCCCTTCCCCTTCCTCTGGCTATCACTGAGATCCATGCAGTCTGCATCTACCCCTCTTCTCACAGAAGAAAACATGACGGTTTCACGTGCCCAAGCTTTACAGGTAGCATAAGGCGGCAACTTCTGGTACAGTTTTCATACAGTGGTTTTGGAACCGATTTACCATAACTTTGATCTGTTAGGGAGTCAGTTGTCACATGTTAATGGCTTGGAATAGGCTAGTCTGAATTTGACACATGCTGTGAGTATAAAGCACCTGTTTTTTGTTTGTTTGTTGTTTTTGCTGAAGGCTTTAGTTCAAAAATGGTAAAAGATTTTATTAGTAATTACATTTATGCTACTTTTGGGTCTATTGGGTTAAATAAAATATCACTACAGTGATTTCCACATGGTTCTTGTTTTACTTTTCAATGTGAAATACTTTTAATGAATTTTGTGGCTCTTAAACTATTCCTATTAGGACACTACTGGTGTAAAGATTTATGTCGTTTCTAGCTCTCAGTTTTTCAATTCTGTTTTCAAAGGTCACAGGTATTTCTTTTGACAGTCTTTGATTCTAAGGGAAATAAGCTTGTAGAGTCTAGTGTAGACTCTCACAGTAGACAGAGATATCAATATCACATTTTGACCTGTTTTTAATGTTCACTCCCAAATACTTTTTGTTTTCAGTTGGAATTCTCTAGAACTAGTTTATTTCTATCTTTACCCCCATAGCTTAATTATGTCCTAAAAATATCTATTTGAGAAATTCTGCTAACTTACATTTCAGACATTTTATCATTTCTGGCAGGCCTTTCAAGTCATTTTTCAATACTTATTGCTCCTTCAGTACTTAAGCTTGAGCTGCATAATCATCCATCCTCAATTAACCTGTCTGTGAGAAGTATTCTATGTTTTAGAGCTGAAGTGGTGGCATAAGTACACCTCATTTTTCACAAAGATTATATTTGAACCATACGTAATATATTGTTGAAGATTCATCTCATTAAAAGCAGCTCACAAATTTTATTGGAAATGAGGAACTTTGTTCAGATAAGCTCATATTTATATAATTGCTTTTCTAAAGTCAGTGCACACTTGAGTTTACTATAAGCTCATCTAAAGAACACAATACATTTTCCTAGAGATTTTTATTCATTAGTTTTTCTCTTAGTTTTTCCCTGTAAATGGTACATTTAATGTTTGTAAAAATTGAGAAGATACCAGTTACTTAGATAATAAGCATATATTACTAATAGCCTAGGAACTTGTGAAATTGGATGTTAGCAGTTACAGAGAAATTGAAGTTTTGGTTTTTATATCTGTAAGTTAAATTTGTTTTTATTCATTGTTGAAATGAATTTCAAGTAGCTGTATTTGCTTTTTGTTTTGTTTTGTTTTTAGAAACAGCATCTTTCATGTACCCCAGGCCACCTTGAGCTCAATATGTAGCCTAGATTGGCCTCAAACTCATGACCTTTCTGTCCATACCTGGCTAATTTGATGATTTTCCTACTTTCTTGGTCTGTTAATCCCAAAGGTTGGTATACATTTCTTTTTACTGTGAAAATACTTTATGATTTCAGCACAACACATGATATCAAAGGCAGAACAGTGAACAGTTGATTGGTCTAAAAGTAGACTACAACTAAAGTTTTTTGTTTGTTTTGGTATTAGTCCTGGGGCTTGAATTCACTGCCTGGGTGCTAATCCTGTGCTTCTTTTTGCTCAAGACTGGCACTCTTCCACTTGTGCCACAGCTCTACTTCTGGCTTTTTTGGTAGTTTACTGGGGATAAGAGTCTCGTGGACTTTTCTGCCCCGGCTGGCTTTGAACCATGATCCTCAGATCTCAGTCTCCTGAGTAGCTAGAATTATAGGAGTGAGTCTCTGGTGCCCAGCCACATTATTTTATTTTTCAGAAAATTTCATGTTAATAATTTTAATAGGGGAGCTGGGAAGGTGGCTCAGTGGTAGAGCGCTTGCCTTGCATGCATGAGGCCCTGGGTTTGATTCCTCAACACCACATAAGCAAAAAAGAAAAAAAGCCGGAAGTGGCACTGTGGCTCAAGTAGTAGAGTGCTAGCCTTGAGCTGAAGAGCTGAGGGACAGTGCCCAGACCTAGAGTTCAGGCCCCACGACCAGACCTTCCTCCGCCCCCCCCCCCAAATTTTTTTTAATAGGTCCTACTCAGCAATTAAAGTTTTTCTTCTGTTTTTTTTGTATTTGGTTGACAGTTTTCAGACATTCAAAGCTTTTTCCTTTGTGTAGTGTTTTAAAAAATGAGATTCATATATTAGATTTAGACGTTAGTTTTTTGAAAACTGAGTGTGTTAACATTTGTATTTCAGATTTTTTATGACATCTTAAACATGAGCGCCACACAATGGGATTTCCCTGTGGAATTATGTTGTCGGCCTATGGCTTTTGTCACACTTACGGGCCTAGATGTGGTATACAATGCTGTCCATCGAGCTGTCTGGGATGCTTTTTGTGCCAATCGGAGAGCTGATCGGGTACCAATTTCTTTCAAGGTGCTCCCAGGTGACCATGAATATCCCAAATGTAGACCAAAGGTAATGACAATACAGTTGCATACATTTTTTCCTTTGGTGTGTGTGTCTATCTGTTTTGTTCCCATTGTTTGTGTTAGAAAATCCCTGAATTTATCAAGATAGGCATTTTTATTTACTATGTAATAATATGTTTAATACTCAGATTTTTTTGATAATCCCTTTAAAAAGTTTTTTCTCCTTTTTTAAAATTCTTCCCCTATTTGTAGGGGGGGAAACACCCACATGTCTCCACAATTTTAACAAAGTCACATTCTCTACTCATTGTTACCAGTATTATAGAATCATTGGTCTTTGCAGATTGGTTCAATTTCACACATTTTTTTGGGGTGTTTGTTTCTGCAAGTGTAATTAGAACCAGGCAACCAGCTGGTGATACAGATTGAACCAAGATACTTCTCTATCTTTGAGAGATACACATAACTAAAACAGTTTACTCAATGTGGAATGAAGAAAGCAAACTTCAGAACTGACTTTTAAGGCGAATAACATGACATACTAATTTGCCTTATTAGAATAATTATAGGGCTGGGAAGGTGGCTCAATGGTAGAGCGCTTGCCTTGTATGCATGAGGTCCTGGGTTCGATTCCTCAGCATCACATATGCAGAAAAAGCTGGAAGTGGTGCTGTGGCCAAAGTGGTAGAGTGCTCGCCTTGAGCTGAAGAGCTGAGGGACAGCACCCAGGCTCAGAGTTCAGGCCCCAGGACCAACAACAACAAACAATTTATAAAGCTGATAATGTAAATTTATATAAATTATATATAATACTTAAACTACATACAATTACATATATATTTTTATATAATACTTACCTCACTGTATCTGTGTTTTTGCCCTAGAACAGTATTTATATGAAACAATGTCATCAGGGTTTTATCTGAAAACAGAAATCTCAGCCCCACTGGTCCTATGTAGTTTTACCCAGTATGGGCTAAGTACAACTAACCCTTTTTCCTCTTTCTTTAATTCTGCAATTGTTTGCTTTTCATTTCTTCCTCCCAATTCTTCCTTGAGTTCCCAGCTTTCTTTATCTTGGACTTCCTTACTGTCCTTGATTTTCCTTACTTGAATTAAACAGTAGTTCATTGTGAGTTGAAGTAGTCTGAGTCACTGTGGGTAGAAGTAATTTGAAATTTCAGATGAATTCTTCAGGGCCAGCATGCACATCATCTATGATATTTACTTTTACTCTGGCCCTTATTGCTACCATTCAAAGTGACTGCTGTTTTGTCTTCATATTTAAGAATTGTGTCTCACTTTTTATTTTATGGGTAAGGTAAGATAATGTTATAGAAACCCTAGTGGACTGAAGGTTAGTGTTTGTGGTACCACACTAAGAAGATGCTCTATTGCAGAGCCATGCCTCCAGCCCTTTGATTGGTGATTTTGAGACAAGGTCTTGATTTTTTTTTTTCAACCTGGACTACAGTACTCTTATTTATGTGGTCTTCACATTTGTGCTTCCTTCCATAGCTGGGATGACAGGTGTGTGCCTCTATGCCCAATTTTTTTCTGTTGAGCTGGTGCTGGAGGATCTTTTTGTCCAGATTGCCTTGGAACTGTGTTCCTCCAGTCTCAGCTGTGCACATAGGTGGCATGACAGGAGTGAGCCACTGGCACCCAGCTTAGACAGTATTTGCAACAACAAAAGCTGGATTGGTAAGAATAGAAATAGAATTACCTAGAAAAGGGCTAGATTCTTTACAATGTGTTTGAGATCTTGGCGTCATTAGGAACTCTGTCTTTGATCATTCTTCCTCAGTGTATTTATTTTTATTTATTTATTTTTGGGTCCGGACATGGGGCCTGAACTCTATGCCTGAGTGCTGTCCCTCAGCTCTTCAGCTCAAGGCTAGCTCTCCACAACTTGAGCCACAGCGCCACTTCCGGCTTTTTTCTTTTTGCTTATGTGGTGCTGAGGAATCAAACCCAGGTCCTCATGCCTGCAAGGCAAGCGCTCTACCACTGAGCTACCTTCCCAGCCCTCTTCCTCAGTTTAAAAATAGGAGATTCTACCTCAGGAATTGTTATCTCTTACCTAATTTTTTTTTTTTTTTGGTCGGGGGCTTGAACTCTGGGCCTGAGCGCTGTCCCTCAGCTCTTCAGCTCAAGGCTAGCGCTCTACCACTTGAGCCATAGTGTCACTTCCCGTTTTCTGAGTGGTTTACTGGAGATAAGAGTCTCATGGACTTTTCCTGCCCAGGTTGGCTTTGAACCATGATTCCCCAGATCTCAGCCTCCTGAGTAGTTAGGATTACAGGCATGAGCCACCAGCGCCCAGCCTTTTTACCTAATTTCTGTAGGTCTGAATGTCCACATTTTAAAAAATGAGCAGTATGGCTGGGCGCCAGTGGCTCACATCTCTAATCCTAGCTACTCAGTAGGCTGAGGTCTGGGGATCACGGTTCAAAGCCAGCCTGGACAGGAAAAGTCCATGAGATGCTTATTTCCAGTAAACCACCAGAAAACAAGAAGAGACACTGTGGCTGAAGTGGTAGAGCGCTAGCCTTGAGCTGAAGAGCTGAGGGATAGCGCCCAGGCCTAGAGTTCAAGCCCCACAACCAACAACAACAACAAAAAAGAGCAGTATGTATATTGAATGCATATAATGTGCCTGGCACTCGGGTGGTTTCTGCTGCTCTTGTCACATAAGTCTTTCATTTCCTCCTGTTTGCAGAGGACATCGTATGAATGGTACATTCCTAAAGGGATCTTAAAGACTGGCTGGATGAATAAGCATCTGAATCTGGTGCCAGCCCTAGTGGTTGTCTTCTATGAATTGGATTGGGATGAGCCTCAATGGAAAGAAAAGCAGTCTGAATGTGCAACCAGGGTGGAAATTGTCAGGTAGGACCTGCTTATATCAGGTTGGCCCAGGTAGTTTGCTTATCATGTCTTTACTAACATTTATTAGGCTGAGGACTGTTTAGACTGCAGTGGATACTTTGGGGATTGTTGAACTCCACTGAAACTTGCTCAGTTCCCAATAACCAGTCTAAGTATTAACTAAATATGATACCATGGTATATGAAGAAATCTGGAATATAAAATGGTTTGAATTTGCAAGTAGTTGTTTTATTACCTTTGATCTTTTTTGGAAATAGTACTTTACTATTTGGTCACATTTTTCCTGTTCCCTACCCCTATTATCAAGGTAATTCTTTTGGATGATTAATATCTCAAAGTTCTAAGTTTTACACTAAAGTATATATTAAACTTGCACTCTTAAGCAGAGTTTTATAAGGATGGAAGCTTGATAATGAGATTATACTTTGAAAATTGAAATTATGGAACTTATAATATGAAGTTCATAATAGGAAGTTATACGTTCTTTCTGTTCAGAAAAAGATTTACTGTGATAATGATCATTTTAGTTGAATTTATCTTCGATTGAGTTATCCAGCTTGTATTTTGAATATACTTAGTTCTAACAATTACTTAATTCTATTGCTATGTTTTCTTTGCAGGCAGAGTTTACAAGGAAGGAACACAAAGGTCGCAGTGGTTCTGATTCAGAAGAAGACCCCTCTGCCACCAGGTATCCAATGTTAATTGCTTTAAACTTCCAGCTCTTCATATTATGAGGTAGTTAGTTTTTAATGTTTAAACATTTTACATAGTTTTAAGACAAATGTTGTGTTAACCTTTAAAAAGCACCAATCACTGGGTGCTGTTGGCTTGTGCCTATCATCCTAGCTTACTCAGGAGACTGAGATCTCAGCATCGTGGTTTGAAGCAGCCAAACAGAAAAAGTCCATGAGACTCTTAGCTCCAATTAACCACTAAAAACATAAAGGCGGAAAAAGAGGAAGAGGAGGAGGAGGAGGGGGAAAAGGAGGAGAGGAAAAAGAGGAGGAGGAAACAAAGAAAAAGGGGAAAAAAGCACCAATTGTACATGGATAAATGTTTGTAGTAAAATTAAAATAGTAGAGACCACAAATCTTAACTCCTACTCCTAGTTCCACTTAGCTCCTCATATAGGCACATATCAATTAACAGAATAGTTTTATAGAAAAAAATGTTACTTACCTGAGATCTAATGTTTTAATCCTTTACATAGTGATAAATGCTATAGGATTTGTCATTTCCTCCAGGAAAATGTTTTCATTTTAAATAGCATGCCAATTATCTCTCTCTCTCTCTCTCTTGCCTTTTTGGAAGGGGGTTGATATTGGGATTTGAACTCTGGGCCTCATGCTTGCTAGACTTCCCTGCCCATGCTGGCTTCAAACTGTGATCCTCAGTTAATCAGCCTCCTAGTAGCTAAGATGACTGGTTTGAGCCACTGGCACTCAGCTCTTTTTTGTTTTAAATAGTTATGTGATGTGGCATTGCATGGTCTATTCTGGCTCAGAAAATTCTATAATGCTTTCTTAATGGGTATTTACTATGTAATTTCTGACTCCAAGCTCTCAAGGGGCCCAGAATTCCTTTTAACATGAAAATTTGTTCTTTCTAATTCCAACTTTATTATAGTTTAAAAATATAATTGTACTGTTATTAAGGTATTACACAGAGGTTACAATCCCCTAAGTCAGATAATGAGTGCAGTTCTTCTTGGATAATGTCACCCCTTCCTTTGCTCTCCTTTAGGTTCCCCCTCCTGCTGTTCACAAGTTGCATACTATATATTTTTAATGGTGTATATTGAATCCATAACTGCATCTGTTCACCCTTCCTTCTTCCATTTCTGTGCCCTGTTTTTGCTTACCTAAAAAGACAAAGTAAAAAATAAAGCACAAACAACAGCAATAACAAGAATAAAATCATGTTTCCATTCCCTGTAATTTGTTTCTTTTTTTTTCTTGTAATTTGTTTCGATAAATAGTATTTTAAACATTCAGAGAGTTATGCCTTTGAACTATATTAGTGTGGAAAATACATGTGTATTTTACTTCTTTGTGTTTCTGGGACTTAACAGGAGAAGATGTGATTGCTTCAGAAAGGGCAGCAGCTCTGTGCAATGTGTGTGAACTCTCAGGAAAGTCCTTGTTCGTATTGCCCCACACTGACCACCTTGTGGGATATATTATAAGGTAAGCAGAGGTTCTCTATAACATCCTTACATTGTTCCTTAGGAATAAAAAAAGACACATTCATAAAGAAAGAATTCAAATGGTACATGGGATAAAGAATAACATGAAACTGGTAAACTCCTATTGTCTGAGGCCACTATGCTCAGTAATTTCTTAAGTTTACTTGTGGAAATCCTTTGTTTAGAGAGGTTTGCTAACATTCTTAGAAGGGAAAATTAGAAGACTTTCAAACTTAATGAGTTAAGCATTTTTCTTTGTGTCTAGAAATCCAGGTTACACTTTGGTTCATTTTTGGATCATTTTTATGTTAAGCATTATGTAAACCAGATATCATCTCTTCAGAATTTCACTTTCAGGTCTTTATAACATCTTTAAAATATGATTTTTTGACAGGTTAGAGAATGCCTTTTACGAACATGCACAGACTTATTACTACACAGAGATCAGAAGAGTGAAATCTCATAAGGAATTTCTCAATAAAACAACACACCAGGTACATTTTCTAAAATAAGAGTATATTATCTATTATTGATTATGTTTAAGGTGATTACTGTATGCTTTTAATACTTGGAAATTTTAAATGATGTCTATTTCAAAGTTTTTTGAAAACTTAAAACTGATGCCAATGGCTCATTTTTATGAGTCTTTCAGTCTTTAACTCAGGAGGCTGAAATCTAAGGATTGCAGTTTGAAGTCAGCCTGGGCACAAGAGTCCATGAAATTCTTACCTCCAGTTCACCACCAAAAAGCCAGAAATGGGGTTGTGGTTCAACTGGTAGAACTTTGAGCAACAATGCTTAGAGATAGCACCTAGGCCTTGAGTTCAAGCCTCAGCACTGGCACAGACACCAAAAAGAGCTTGTTTTTGATTTTTTTTTAACTCTTTGCCCTTAAAAAGTTTTTAAGTTAAAAAATGTTTTTAAAGTTTTATAGTCATTAACTATATATATACTTGTTTGTTGAAATGATGTTGAATTTAAATTTTGAATATTCTTTCTACTTTGAGCATTATAGTATATAATCTATATCTATAATATGATTCTTTTCAATCCTTTTTTTCAGCTTTTATTTGTTAGACATCAGTTCAAAATAGCTTTCTTCAGTGAGTTGAAACAAGATACACAAAATGCTCTTAAGTAAGTTTATGTTTTCAATCTAAATTTTTCTTTGTTAGTGATAGTATATTAATAGCAATTTCTAATTCTTAGATAATCTTTAATTAATATTAAAATATTTGTTGATTAAATTCTAATATTTAATATTTGGTTTGTCTAGAGTGAATGAGATATAGTATTTTTGGATTTAGGAAAAATTCCAATTTACCAGGCACTAGTAGTTCATACCTGTACCTAGCTACTCAGGCCTAGTTACTCAGAAGGCTGACGTCAAAGGATTATGCTTTGAAGCCAGCTCAAGCATGAAAGTTCGTGAGACTCTTATTTTCAATTAGCCAGAAGTGGAGCTATGACTTAAATGATAGACCTGTAGCCTTGAGAAAAAAAGCTCAGGGACAACACCTAGACCCTGAATTCAACACCAGCACCAAAATAAATAAATAAAATTTCATTTTATTATTAGAAGTAAGGTTTTTTTTGTTGTTGTTGTTTTGTTTTTTGTCATGGGGCTTGAACTCTGGGCCTGAACACTGTACCTCAGCCCTCAAGGCTAGTACTCTACCACTTGAGCCACTGCACCACTTCTGGTTTTCTGAGTGGTTTATTGGAGAGAAGAGTCTCACGGACTATCCTGCCCAGGCTAGCTTTGAACTGCAATCGTCAGATCTCAGCCTCATGAGTAGCTAGGATTACTGGTGTGAGCCACTGGCACCAGGCTTCGAAGTAAATTTTATAAAGCTTTTTAATTAGATATTATGATCTAAGGAAAAATGCTGTTAGTATTTTCCCAAACTTTCTATTTTGTATTTGTATATTCAGTGAAGTTCCAAAGTATAGTAAACATCTAAATCACACTATGGATTTTTGTTGGAGAGATAGTTCTGGAGATTCAACTTGGAAGTTGTTAAAGCAAGTACTAGACGCCTTTGGCCTTCTTGCTTAATTTGTTTTTCAGATAGAGTCTTCATTTTTAGGCAGGTCAGCCTAAACCTGATCCTCCTTGTAATTGGAATGATAGGTACAGTCTTCCCAATTATTTTATTTATAATGCCTGCCTATAACCTCATTTTGCATCTGAAGACTGCTTAGAGTCTTGAAGATTGTTTGCAAATGTGTTGGCAGTGGTTAAGCACTTTATTCCTTTGTTTTTACTAATCACGGTTTTAAAAAACACAATTTCTAGCCAGGCATCGGTGGCTCACGCCTGTAATCCTAGCTACTCAGGAGGCTGAGATCTGAGGTTTGAGGTTCAAAGCCAGCCCAGGCAGGAAAGTCTGTGAAACTCTTATCTCCAGTAAACCAGCAGAAAACCTGGTAAACCAGCAGAAAACCTGAAGTGGCGCTGTGGCTCAAGTGTTGAGCTGAGCTGAAGAGCTGAGGAACAGCACTCAGGCCCAGAGTTCAATCCCCATGACCAACAAAAATAAACAACATTCCCCTGCCCCTCACAATCTCTGTGTAATTTTACCTCAGTTATTTAAAGAATGTCAGCAGTATATACAGAGATTAAAAACCAGCTATTCATCTTATAATTAGCTTGACAAAACATAAAGAAAAATACTAACTGGCTTTAATGTAGTTCATTATTAAGAGAGAAGTTAAACCTCTTCAACTTCGGGTCTGTAGAAAAGTAACTTCAGAAAAAAATATATACTGAGAATGGTTGACAGTGCACCTCTTCCTATGGTTTGGAAATTTTTTCATTACTGTCTAAATTTGGGCAGCCCCATCCTATACCCCAAGACCTTTCCTCTCACCTCCAGTCTCGCCTATCCTTGCAGCTTTAAGGATACTACCCTTCTCTCCAGCCTCCCTTTGAAATCAGTAGTAGTTCCTTAGCCTATGCAGGTACTTTGAAAGCTGTTGACCTGTGCTTTCTTGATAACATCTTTGGGAATACTATGTCTCTTTGAGAAACTCATATAGTACTGTGAAATAGTTTTTAAAAGAACACTCATTTTCCAACAAAATTCTGTCCAGTTTACTTTTATTATTAAACTCATTTTCTATTGGTTATTGACAGATGTTAATGACAGAACAATGATATTAGGTGGTTTTGGTCTTTGGGAAAAATCATTGATCACTTCTACATATATTAGTAGTTAATCATATTTCATGACAGTGGCAATTGTTGAATATACTGTTATTGATCTGTTGAGTTCTAAGAAATAGTGGGTAAATAGTTTCATTTACAATTTGTTCTTGTGAAAATCTTGAAATTTATTCTTATCGTCATTAACCACTTCCTCATCTTTTTGTTAGGAATTATAGGACTGCCTATAATCTTGTACATGAATTGCGAGCACATGAAACTAATATAATGGAAATTAAGACTATGGCAGGATTTATAAACTACAAGGTAATAGTTTTGCTTTCAAATAAAGAGGATTTGTCTTAATATTGTTAACTTTTTTAAATGGAAAAATTAAAATTTCTTCCTCTGCAAATTGTATTTGATTAATTACATTTTCCCTTTTTTTAAATTTTTAATTTTTATTTATTTTTTTGCCAGTCCTGGGACTTGAACTAAGGGCCTGGGTACTGTTCCTTAGCTTCTTTTGCTCAAGGCTTCATTCTACCACTTGAACCACAGCACCACTTCCAGCTTTTTCTGTTTATGGGGTTCTAAGGAATTGAACCCAGGGCTTCATGCATGTTAGGCAAGTACTCTATCACTAAGCCACATCCCAGCCAATTTTTCCATTTTATATATCTTTTTACAGGGCCCTGATTCTTAGCAGGCTAATAGCAATGATTGGGCCTAGTTATTGGGAGCTAAGAGATTTTTTCTTACAGTGTTTTTTGTTTTTTTTTTTTAAGGAGCAGGAAGGGCTGGGAATGTGGCTTAGTAGTAGAGTGCTTGCTTAGCATTCATGAAGCCCTGGGTTTGATTCCTCAGTACCACATAAACGGAAAAAGCTGAAGTGGTGCTGTGGCTCAAGAGGTAGAGTGCCAGCCTTGAACAAAAGAAGCTCAGGGACAGTGCCCAGGCCCTTGGTTCAAGCCCCAGGACTGGCAAAAAAAAAATAAATAGGAGTAGGAAGTAGTGAGAAGAAAGATATCTATATTTAAAATGTTTTAAGATACATAGTATAAGAACTCTGTAAGCCTTTCCATGTTTTAATATCAGAACTGTAGAAATGGTGCATCTATTTTGTTGTTGTTATTTGTTTGAGACTGTGTCTCATTATGCTCCCCAGGCTGGTCCTGAACTTGTGGGCTTAAGCCATCATCCTCTTTTTTCCTGCCTCAGCCTTCAGAGTAGATTGGACTATCACCATTCCTGGCTCTATTCACTTAGAGGAAAATTCCATAACTATTGCTTGAGTGTTTTAAGATTGTATGCTTTAGAAATAGATTCCTCACCTTCACCTGTCAGGCCAATGAGGGCTGTTTTTACTTAGCTTTTTCTACATTCATCTTTTAAAGTGTGTAGTTTTGGGTTGGTGGTGTGTAGGTGAATTCTTTAATTCAATGTGAGTATAAATGTAAACTAGTATAACTTCTATAGGGACTATTTTTGCAATGACTATTAGATTTAAAATGAATGTTCCCGTTGATCTAGCAGTTCTATTTCAGGAAGTTTGACATATGCTAATGTTCGCAAATCACATCTATAGATATTTCATCCTCTGATCATTAAAGATTAGAAACAAGCCAACATTAATTGATTAGTTATATAAATTATAACTAGTAGAACTTTGTATAACTAGTAAGGTTGTTGTGATTCTGTAGGTAACTGTTTAGTATTGATATCTAAGACATCGGTGAATAAAGTAAGGCACAACTCAGCATGTATTTGGTCTGATGCTATTTGTACACTAGCTTATGTGTATAAATACACACACACATTTACACCCTTGTCTGTGTTAGAATGTATCTGCTATATACCAGAAGTTGTTTGCCTCTGGACATGGAAAAAGGATGGCTGGGGACAGGGATTCTGTTGTATCCCAAAAATAAAATTGAAAATTATATTAAGCATATGGAAGTAAATTCAGGTTTTCTTTTGTTATTCTGTTTATCCCCAACACATATAAGTTGCATTGTTTTGAAATAACATCCCAAACAAAAAGTTTTTGAAAATTTCTGTAATCCTTGTGTGATACGGAAGTATTTATAATTTGTTTGTATTGCAGAAAGTCTTTATACCGAAGGACAATATTTTCTTTCTTATTTACCCACTGGAAATATTTTATCCTGTATTTTCTTCATTGGATATAACTTTTTGCAATCTGTACTTTGAAAAGCTTTTCTAAGGTATAGTAAATTCAGTGTCAGTTGAACTATTTAATTTCATTTCTCAAAGGTAGATGAAATCTTCTTTTAGTAAGCCCATTCTGATCAGTAAAATTAATTCTACTGCAAAGAACATCAGAGAAGTAAATCGAATTGTAAGCTTTTTTAAAGTTACTAAAGCACATTTTTAAGTTAATATGCCTTCTGACTTTTATCTCCCTTGTGGGCTTGGTTTTCCATTTGCAGATCTGTAGGCTATGTTTTCAACACAATACCCCACTGGATGCAATTGCTCAGTTTCGAAAACACATCGACTTGTGTAAGAAAAAGATTGGAAGTGCAGAGTTGTCTTTTGAGCATGCTGCATGGATGTCTAAGCAGTATGTTTTTAAATTGTGTTTTTTTGTATATTTTAAAAAATAAGGTAGGGATTTAAAAGGAGTTAGCATGAACTTTGGTCCTATTTTCACTAAGTAGGTTTTTAATGATACAGCATAAATGGATTTTCAGGAAAAATCATATTAATTAGTTTCTTAATGCAAATCAGTTAATATATAGTACTATATATTTCATTTACCATATATTTGTTGAGTCTCCACTCACTGTTCCTCATTGAGCAAAACAAAATTCCTGCTGGCAGGAGCTAACAGCTGAGACTGTTGTTTAAAAATTGCTAAAGCAAATCTGAATGTATTTGACAGCAACATGTTGAGATCTAATTTGATTGTAGTTAGGTTTGTTAACACAGAAGAGATGGCTTAAATACAAAATTTAACCTTATAATTAATGTGTATTTTATTATTTATGAAGAAATATAACACATACTATTAACCAGTAGTGTTATTTTAATACAGTGTGTTGAACTTGTGGTTTTTAGGAGAATGATAGCTAGTTAGAAGGAACTTGATTCTTTGTTGTTTTTTTTAATTTCCTATGCCTTAAAATGTTTTCCTTTTTAAGATTTCAGGCCTTTGGAGATTTATTTGATGAAGCTATTAAGTTAGGGTTAACAGCTATTCAAACTCAGAATCCTGGTTTCTATTATCAGCAGGCAGCATATTACGCTCAGGAGCGGAAACAGCATGCAAAAACCCTCTGTAACCATGAGGTGAGGTCCAAGTCTTGTCTATTTAGTGTTTAGGAAATGTATTAATCTTTTCTTGAGAGAAGCTACACTGACTGGAATGGATTAATTTTTTTCAAGTCTTTGAATATAGTTTATCTTTTATAAACTTAGGAATTATGAGTGCTTTCAATTTTAACTGAAGTAATACATTTTTACCTGAATTGAAGTTTTGTTTATATGATTTATAACTACTATTTTAATGTATTATATTTTTAAACTTTGTATTGTAATTAAAACAATATTGTAGAAGAGATTAACACTAAATTTTGTGAAGGATATGTGAAACTGGGCATTGACATAACATTGACTGGTATGAAAAAAATAATACTGAGGCTGGGAAGGTGGCTCAGTGGTAGAGCGCTTGCCTTGTATGCTCGAGGCCCTGGGTTCGATTCCTCA